TTTTCGACTCAATTTTATTTCTTCTATCTACCTACGAGAGATTGTACGGCAATTCTGGGACATCCTGTATATATATATGTATGCATATTTAAAAGTATTCTTCGGCATAAAATCCTGCAAAAACGGTTCTTATGACCTTATTATATTTTCTTAGTTTAGACTTCAGAGCCTTAGTTTCTTTAATTGTACTAAAAATAAATAGTCAAAACGTCTCTTAATTTACATTGTTTTTAATTTTATATTGGCATGACATCTTGCACTTATTATTGGCCGATTTTACTTTGATTATTCAACTGGTTTTGCCGTTTATGAGTTGGAGATCACACCTCATATCTCACTATAATTAAAACAAATTTTTTAAAGAAATTTTCTTTTTTCGACATCTTAAGAGTACTTTTTCTATTTTTGTTCGTGTTGTAAGCGTATAGACAGGGAGGGGGGGCTACGCCCTCCCGCAGAGAGAGTGGCTTTGTCTCTCTCTCTCTGCTCCCCTCAAGAAAAAAACCTAATTACTGTTAAGTTTTCTTTAATTAGATTAAATTAAATCTAGTCGGAGAAAGCAGGAGAAAGTCATCCTCCTTGCGGGAGGGCGTAGCTCCCTTCTGCACGTTTATAACACGAACATAGTACGTGAGAGTGGCTTTCACTTAGACACCGTTCAATTGGACATGTTGCAATTGGACACGGCAAAAATAGACACAAACTTTTAGACACGGTTCAATTAGACATCGTTCAATTAGACACCGTGCAATTGCACACCGTTCATCTAGACACCGTTTGTTTGGACACAGAAAGTTGCACACTGTTCAATTAGACACAGAAAGTGTTACACTGTTCAATTAGACACCAAAAGTTGCACACTGTTCAATTAGAAAGTGTCGCACTGTTCACTTAGACCGTGCAATTGCGCACCGTTCATTTAGACTCTGTTTACTTAGACACCGTTTATTTGGACACAAAGAGACTTCTTATTTGAACGCTTAAAAGATATTCATAATTTGTGTGAGTATATAACAGATGGAAAGAAATAAAAAAAATAAATAAATTTACATAAAAGCTATTGTACTTTTGCATCAAAAACTATAATACTTTTTAAGAAACATAAAGAAAGTAGTACATTTAAAAACTAAAAATTTTGTTTGCAATACACATTATTGTGTATGTGTCGACGGGGGAGAGGTTCCTCTCTCCCTCCACCTTCTCCTCGAAAAACCCTACCCTAACCCTAACCTGTTACTACTAGAGTCCCTGGAAATAAGAGTCTGGCCAATGTTTAATCTGAAACAAAATGGCGTCGATAGTTACTATATACATCGTATTCTATATTGTATAAGGCCAATTTCCTTATATCTCCCGATAGCTATTCTTTAAAGAAATATACAAAAAAATATACTTTATCTTATCTAAAACTTATTCAGAAGTGGAGAAATTGGACATAAAACCTATGATAGAAAAAATAGGTATGTACAGGCACTGTGCAACAAAAAATGATNCACATTCTAACCTTCTGTTAGCAATTTGATAGAATAATTGCAAATTTATTTATGTGTTTGTTTTGCAGAAAATGACTGGTTGTTGCGTAGTTGGCTGTTTTAATAGTAGTGAAAAAGGTAAATCTATGAGACGCTTTCCTACAAATGTAGAACGGCAAACATTATAGATAAAACAAATTGAAAGAAAAAATTGGCAACCATCGCAGTCTTCCTGTATTTGTGAAGTAAGTATAAAGTGTACTGATTAATAAATTAAATGAGAGATCTGTATGATTAAATGATAGATATCTATGATTAATCCAAAATTATTGAGAAGGAATATTATTGTGTCTAAAATCAAAAGCATCTCAAGCACTTTTGAGTATAGAAATAATATTACAATGTTATTTTTTTAGGATCACTTTTCAGAAAATATGTGGGAAAAACTTCGAATAGATGGGAAAAGAAAGCTGAAATGCAATGCTGTACCAACAATTTTCCCATCATATGAATGTATCTTGAAGAGCCAAGACACCAGCCAGGACAACTCTTGCAATGTATGCATATATATTATATATGTTTATTTGTTTTAAACATTATTGTAGATAAAATCTAATAGACAAATTACTCTTTTTATAGATGGATTACAATCAGGAATATAATGAAACAGTAACTATTACACAGAAACATTCACTAAACAATGCAATATATAAAAATATATTTTCTTTTCTTCTATCACGGCCTATTTNTTTTATCCCATCACGCACTAATCTGTTATTACTTTAANTTACCAATTTTATACGTAAAATAAGATATATATTCGGGCATTGGAGAAAAAGAAAGAAAGCGAAGATTATAAGAGCAAAAAGTGCTAGCACCACGAACAGGCATACTGCTATTTAAATCAAATTTAATGTGTGGCTATAACATTATCCATTGGTTCCGCCATTTTGTTTCAGAACCAATGAAAAGTTTGACAACATTGGCCGGACTCTTATTTCCAGGGACTCTAGTTACTACTATCAGTAATTGTCACTTTTTACTTTTGTTTTTATTTTTTTCCATCTGTTACATACTTACACAAATTATGAATATTTTTTAAGCGTTTAAATAAGAAGTCTCTTTGTATCCAAATGAACGGTGTCTAAATGAACGGTGCGCAATTGCACGGTGTCTAAGTAAACAATGCAACACTTTCTGTGTCTAATTGAACAGTCTGCAACTTTTAGTGTCTACGTGAACGGTGCGACATTTTTAGTATCTAAGTAAACAATGTGCAACTTTTGGTATTGAATTGAACAGTGTGACATTTTCTGTTTCTAATTGAACAGTGTGCAACTTTCTGTGTCCAAACAAACGGTGCACAATTGAACGGTATCCAAATGAAAGGTGCGCAATTGCACGGTGTTTAAGTGAATCGTGTCTAAAAGTTTATGTTTATTTGCACCGTATCCAATTACAACGTGTCCAATTGAACGGTTGTTTAAGTTTACCGCTCTCAGTACGTAAACGTTTTATGTTCAAAATTTATTAAATATTATTTTCATTCAATGAATACAAAGTAGCCATAATATTGAAAAACATATCAATCCTATTTTTTGTAAGTCTATTGAAGCACGTGCAAACTATGTTCCTGTTAGGACACTATTTTAAAATTACACGTCTGTAGTTTTCGTTTTTTATTACGAACTTGTTTATAATATGTTTTCGTGCAATGAAGAATTAAAGATTGACATTGTGTGTCCAAATAAATCATCGCATTGCATAGCAGGCATTTCACTTCTCTTTATATAACTTTCTTTGTTGCCAAATAAGCAATCAATTCGGAATAATTATGAGTTAAATGCAAAAACTCGTGGAATAACATAGCGAATTAAATTGACAGATCACTACTTCATGTGTGTGTTCCGAAATATTCGAAATATCAACTGAGATATAGTTGATCATACTGTTCACATATATGTGTAACTAAATCATCGATCTCGGAATGTTTTTGGAAATGATAAAAAGGGGAAAATATTTGTATTCGACTTTGTACTTCATCATTTTACTGAAAATAAGTACCATAATTTTCGAACAGTTTTTGCTAAAACCTTTTTAATGAAAAACAAGCAACGGCTAAAACTTTTCAATTGTTACTCATAAGAGTGTCCTTGACAATATATGTCAAGGTCATCGGATCATCCTTCTCTGTACTGAATATTTACCAAAATATGTTTAATTCAACACTATACAAAAATATATTACCATTTATTGGCCTAAACTAAAATAGATAATATAATATTCAGAAAACATTAAGGAGAAACTATATCAAGATATTTAAGTTTTTTTTATCAATATTGATAACATACCTGCACATAAAATAATTTTAGCTTATAGTATTAATACTAGTTTACTAGCATTGTATAAAAAAAAGAATAGCATTTGTATATTAATATTATAATAGTATTATAATACTACATCATTTTATTTTAGAGATATTAAACTTTTTGTTACTTTTTTTGCGAATATCTTGTTATTTATTTAGATTTAAGTCAATAAATGGTAATACATTTTTGTATGAAATCAAACATATTTTCTAACTGTCACAAAAAAAGATATAAACTTCAATTAAAAAAAAGAAGTTGATATTGAAATCTTCAAAACTCTATCATAAATCAATCTTCTACTTATAAAAAAAACATACACACTGTGTAATAACTCTCTGAAATCATCATTTGCATAACATTTTTTCATTGTTTGCATGTAACATTTTTTTACAACATTTAATTTACAAGTTCAAGATGTATAAGTTAGTTGCCTCATTTTTTACATTTTTTACATGTGCGCGCGCACACATTTAATAGCAAATATTCGATATTTAATGTAATAAAAATTTATATTTGTATTTATTTTTGTATTACAAGTGCATAAAACTGTCATTTTTAATAAACACAAAAATTGTTAAAATTACTTTAATGGAATGATATATGTAACGTTTTAATTAATCACAAATTTCTCAGTCTAAATATTTGACTGATACTTCTTTTTTAGAGTCATATATATATATATATAAGATTTAGAGTAGAAAACAATAAATTATTTAACTGTTTTTCTTAATTTAAGAGTATTACTTCATGCGCAGAATGTCTATGTGTTAGATTATAAAGAATAATTTTTTACTGTTGTAACTATTAACTCTGCTTTACAAATATGATCTCATTAATATGTACTAAATTATGTTAGATAATTTGTGTGCTCTTCTCTTTAGAATTTTGTAGTAGACTTTGCACGATTAAATAAGAAAATCAACTATTGTAATGACAAAAAAATATGTAAACTACATTATTTATACTACTGATATTGGCAAATAATATGTATATTTACTTTATAATTGCATCAGAACTGCGTTTCTTTCTCAGAATTAAATTCATATTACGAATATTTGAGCATTGCCGCAAAAGTTGTGATCATCGATGAAAGAATCTGATAATGAGTAATATTGTGTTAGCACAATTTTATACATACGCATACATAATCATAACTCACCTATATCGCTATAGTATCAATCACATGTCAACGAGTTTTGTCGTGCCGAACTCACCGCTATTATGAACGGCAAATCTATTAGTCTCACGATAAGTGAAGTCATGGAAGATTCCTTGACAAGAAAGAGAAGCACAAGCCATGAAATGCACTGACAATAAAAAATAACATAACACCACTGTCAATATCGTTCTTTTGCGTGATATGCGAGATGCTGTGTCGAAAAGACGTAGCGATTGTTCTCTCCAGGTTCTGTGGTCGTCGATTGTGGCTCGGTTCACTCACTGCACAGGCGTCGCTATCGATCGATAGCTGTTCTCCTCGAGTTGCAGTGTTCCGCGACCTCACAACCTGACGATCACTTCTCATCCCTTCTTTTAATTTCTTTTCAAACAGTATAAAACAGAAATGTAAGTTTATGTTATTGCTTCATAAATAGTCTTAGCAATAATTTGAACGGTCATTGAGAGCCTTACACTGGATGTTCGTCTCGAAATAAATATATACAGGGTGGCCAACATAATTGTTTACAGCTTGATATCTCGGGAACTATACCATCGATTTTAATGATTGAGATCTTGAATTGTATGGTTCTAAAAGACCTTTAAATGTGAATGAAAGTTGGTTTTGAAACTTTAGTTCCTTGGACGGGGCAAAAATTAACTTTAAAATTGTAAATGGAAACCCTTATATAAAATTACATTTTTATATTCTCTATGAAAGAAACCAACTTAGTTTTATTTGAACAATATTGTCAGATGGTTTTATAAAGAAATATGACGGTTTGAAGTTTCGACTTAGTTAGTCAAAACTTCAGCGCTTGAAGCGCTCGGGAATTACCTACACAAAATAACATAAACATAACTGTAACCTCATTATTTACAAACGTGCCGGTAGAGTTAGCACTAAAAGGTTTTATTTTACAATCTCGTTAGAACCACATTCAGGAAAAAACAAGAATTCCTCTTCCAGAATTTTTACGTGCGGTTGAATTTGTAATATCGTCCACGTATTTTTCTTTCAACAACATTACATATAAATAAACCTATGGCGTACTAATGAGCTCTCCTCTTTCTCCAGTATTAGCGGACTTGATATTGCAAGATTTGGAGAAGGAAGTTCTAAAAGAACTATGCTTCACATCTTCATTTTACTTCAGATATGTGGACGATTTAATTCTGACTGCTTCTCCTAACAATATTGTAAATTTATTGGACACTTTCAATAACTATAATGTAAGATTGAGCTTCATGGTTGAGAAGAAGATAAACAAAACATTGAATGTTTTGGATATCAATAATGACTACGGAATACAATAAACATTATTTGTGACTGGTTCTATAAACCAACTTTTTTGGGGAGATACTTGAATTTTTGCGCTGCGCACCCGATGTTTAAAAAAATTAAAACAATAATTGGTATAACAGACAGAGTTATGTTGCTATCTTACCCAAAGTTTCAAGAAAATGTTTTAATTGATAATTGATATTTTTTATTAAATGACTATCTGTTACATTTTATTTTCAAAACACTAGACAATTGCATAAAATATCTTATCAACTATAGGCTCAATCCGCGTAGCGACAGATTAGAAAACCCACAAGACTCTTCAGAGCGAGCGCATTTTTTTGTTCTGCCGTTCATCAGAGATTTATCAGAAACCGTATCGAAATTTTTAGACACTAAGAAAGACATCGGTTTAGCTTACAGGAGTTTGCATAAACCAAATAAATACATTAAAAATCAAAGACCTTGTGAACACTGAACAACAAAAAAATGTGGTATGCAGATTACAATGTCAAAATTGCGATGTATCATACGTTAAACAGACAATGAGAAAACTAAAACCACGGGTGTCTGAACATAAAAACCAGTTAAACCACAACTCTCAGAATGCTTCGGTTGTCACTCAACACTGTCTAGACATTGACCATAACTTTACGTGGAACGATATAAAAATTTTAAACATTGAACCTTTGTATTTTCAGTGATTAAAATTATATCAGACATCGACAAGCTGAAATCTTATTTTACATTTTTGGACAATTACAATTCGAAATGACCACTTTTTTTCTCATTGTCCTTTTTGTTTCTTCTTATCTTTCTGTGGACACGAAAAATAATTAGTTGGGATAAAGTACACATAAGACTTGTTTTACCAGTCATACGCACAGTGCGTTCGATGTCGTGGTCGTGACATAAACACTGACAACAACTACAGGTCATTGACTCGACTTTTTAAACATTATCTGTCCTGGTAATTATTAGGATCGGTATGTACTACTTACCCAGCAAACAATTTCTGACTACGCAGACCTTGGCAACAGAAACTGTGTGCAGAAACGCTACAGTACGGAAACATGCTTTGGTGCTGCCAAAACTGTTAGCACATAGAGACAAAAAACGCAACAACTCTGTTGGCACATACATGAGACTATT